CTCCCATCTGCGATCACTCCCGCGAGTTCCACTCGCGCGCGCGCCCGTGGCCCGCGCGCAGGCGGGCGAGATGCGCGCGCGGGCCGCCCCCCGCTCTCCCGCGCCTCGCGGCGCGCGGCCCCGCGAGAAGGGCTCGCGCGCGCGGCGCTTTGCTTGTTCATGGCTGCGCACGGCCCCGCGACAAGGGCGCTCGCGCGCGCGGGGCGTCGGCGGCTCGCTGCGCGCGCGTGCGCGCGTGCGCTGCTGTTCTTGTTGCATCGCCATGGGCGCTGCTCGGTTCTGGTGCGCCGCGGGGGCCCCATCGGGGCGGGCCGCGGCGCGCCTCGGGGTCGCGCGTGTCGCAGGTGCTGGCGCCTTGCGCTTCGCCGTCGCAGACGGCGTGCGCGCTTTCGCCTTGCCCTGCCGCTCCTGGGGGCACTTGCACCCCTGGCGCCCCGCGCGTCGGCTCAGTTTGGGTTCGCCAGGCCAGGCAGCGCGGGGGCGCCGCGCCCCTTGTCACGGGGGCGCAGCCACCTTCGGGCGGGGGAGGCTGCTGGAGCATTTGCAAGTTCATGTCTTGTGTGGCGGATGTATGAGGTCGTTCTTCTCGTTGCGAATGTACAGGTTGATTCATGGTGGCGCATTTATATGTTTTGTGGCGGGTTTGCACATGGATTCCTTGTGTGGCGAACATGCGTTGCGATTTCTGCATTGGCGGGCTTGCAATGTGGTTCCATTCGTGGGTCGTTTAAGAATTGGTTCGCGTTGTGGTGAGGTACGCTGGTTCCTGCTGTGGTGGATCTACACATTTCTTCTTCTTGTGGCAGGTTTGACGTTGTTTTCTTTTGCGGCGCTTCCAAACCTTTGTTCCTTTTCGCCGCAGGGTTGCACTTTGATTCATATAGTGTCGTTGGTTTGTACGTTGATTCTTTCTGCGGCGCATTGGCAAGCTGATTCGTTTCGTGATTGATTCGCGCATTGATTCTTCATGTGTTGTTTTCGAATAGCTACAACTGTGTCGTCGTCGTCGTTCGCCTGTATGTCTCGGGCCACGGGTGATCTTCTTTGCGGGGTTCCAAGGGGCAGCTGTTGTCGTCTTTGCTGACAAGCGCCCCGCCATGATTTGCCGAATGACGAAGCGGACGACAATATTCATGCGACGTTGAGTCTGGCGTCGCACATTGGCGCGATGCGCTAAGAGTTGAAGCTGCGCGCGCTCGTTTATCGCGGTGCAGTCGCGCGCCAACTCGACTTTTTTTTTGTTTGTTATTCTTCCTTTTTTTCCAGACACTGTCGTGCTGGGTAGCAATTGCCGAATTGCGGAACATCGCTTTGAATTGCGGCCTGTTCCGCATGAGCGCGTCGTGCCCAACGACGGTCGCCGCAAGTAGTCTTGATGGCTTGTTGGAAGCGCTCTTTGGGTCCATGTTAGAAATGCGGGCATTTGCGTTTTGGTGGGTCATGCCCTGCAGGTTTTTGTCGCGCGTTGAGCTGAATTGGATTTTGTCCATGCCCTCGTACGATAGGAGTAATACGCTGGGGTTTGTTCCTGCACGGATTTAAACTTCCGGGCGATGTTTCGGGGCGCCCAGCTCAGTTGGGTCCGTTTTCCGCCAAAATGAGCTCCGGCTTCGAATGCTTGATGAAGTTGATCTTCGCCGGTTCCTTGCAAGTTATTCATCGTCATAAGCGTTTCGGCGTCATTGTGGTTGGATGCGTTGTCCGTCTTCACGATCCGACTCGCAGGCAGTATCGACGTCAATGGACGAGCGCTTGGCTAACAGTGGAACAACCTCTGTGAGGCGCGATGTATCTTTCAAGATCGTCTTGAACACGTGTTTTCCTTCTCGTTGAAATGGCTGCTTCTGCGCCCCGTGTTCGGATTGCCCGGCGAGCGACATTGCCGCCCTGTAAGTTCTGTTTGCGCAACAAGTTGCATTCCACGTTCTTCGTCTTGACCGGGCACTTCTCCAAGCGTTCTTGCGTAGAATTCACTCAGCAATTGAGTGAGTCAGCGCGTCGCGAATTTTCCGGGAAGCACCTTTGGTCATCGGGTGGACAAGAGTGACGAGAAGCTCCGTGGCGAAATCATCGCAGTATACTACGTTCCCGGTGCGTGCAAATTGGCGCGAAGCCATGAGATGGCATTACATGGGGGGTGCTGGCCCGTCTGCAGAATTCGCCCACGTCGCATGGTCACGCATCCTCGCCATTTTCCCTGCAACCTTATCGAACGTGTCGTTGCCGTGAACTTGGGCAGCGGCAAATCTGAGCACGTGCAGAACTCTAGATCGAGTTTCACCACCCCGACTGTCCATCGTGTCTCCCGGACCGACAAAAAATCGCCTCCACCGCCATGCGACTCATCGTCTACGCTTTCGGAAACACGCCCGCTCCGATTTCGGGGCCCGCGCGGGGTCCGGAGCTCGGATGAAACTCGCCGCCCGCGTCTGGTAATGGTGATCGGGTTACTGCGGCCTGGGTTCTGGGGGCGCTGCAGCGACGCGTTCATCGAAGTCGCCTTGCCTCGCAGAGCGTTCTCGCCATTTTGGAAACTAGCGCGCAAGGTGTGTCCGCTCCCTTCATCTGATGGCGCCAGTGCATGCGAACGCCCAGGTGCCCTGGTCGGCGGAATGGCCGACTCACGCAGAATGGCCACGAATCTGCCACCGCGCTTCGAGGCGCGAAGTGGAGCGCGTTCAGGCCCCCCGAGAAGCTTTCCACACCGAGACAAGAAGGCCCTGGAGCAATCCAGGAGGCCCCAGGAGGCGCCACCAAATATTCCGAAAACCAGCCCAGGCGCCCCATGCGAACGAAACGTACACGGGGTCGGGATGGGCCAATCGCCGCGTGTATAAACCCCAGCCCCTGCAATCGGAATTGCGGGCGAGATCGTTTTTGTTTTGACATGGGCCGCGAAGTGGTCGGCCGATCCACCCAGACAGTACATTTAGTTGTATTTTAACGCCCGCTTCTTGAGGGCGATCAAGGGCATCGAGTTGGCGCGCGACGGCATCACGGCCAACGAACGCCACGTTGAGTTCTTGGCCAACTCCGCCAATATACGATATCAGGTGCCAGCGCCAAACGAAGATTACCGGAAGCTCGTTTGTCATTCGGCAGATGATGTCACGGTATTTGTCAGCGAGCGTGAAGTTGCCGTGTTCTTCCTAATCCAATCAGCACAGCGGATCTTCCCGCAAGCGGTGTTATTTCCCCGGTGGAACACCCATTTGATAATGATATTGCGAACGAGGCAGCAGTGCAGAAGAGGCCCGCCAGTAGGTCCAGCGCATGTACGGCGACAGTTGCCGCAAGGAGGCGCGTCTGAGCGGCTCTTCGCCTTGTGCGAAAACACCCAGCAATTTCCTCCCGCAGCGACTTGCGATTGCGTGGGACTTGTGCGCGAGTGAAAACAAACAGACGGGACGTGCATGCGCCAATTGCCACAGGTCCATTGGACATTTCTTGCTATTCGAATATGTGTGCGCTCGCTTTGCAAATCATCCACTGCCGTTCCTACCACCGAGAGGTATTTGCAACGCTCCGTTTGTTTGACTTGAATGTGTAGTTGATTCATGATGGAATGATACCAGTATCCGCATGTTTGTTCGTGGACATGCGTAGATGCATGTGTATATGTTGGTATGTGTATGTGTTTATGTATGCGTGTATGTGTGTAGCTGTACGCGCAAGTTCGTGTGAACAACTCCGCATATGTAGGGTTATTTGGTGGAACGCAGCCAATTGCAATAACAGGAAACCTCACGTCAAAGAGAACCTGATTAAATACACGAACGAAGCATTGCAAAGGCAGCGCAGGCGAAGCGGCGTATTGAGGAATGCGAGGTCGCCTTATGGCAGAGGTGACTGCGCGGCCATGTGCACGTTGGTTCGTTCTCAACCAATGGCCCAGTGGGCCAGGTCACGATTCTGCATATAGTGGGGGAGTCTCAGGCCAAACGGCGGCCAAAACGCCTGTGGAGACGGCTGCCTCGGGCTCTTTGTCCCCCTTTCTGGCACCCTTTCTGTGGTTAATTTTTCTTATGGTTAGCAACCCCCAGCGGAACGCTGGGAAGAAAATTAACCAATAATGCTACTCTTCCGTCGCCGCAGCGGTTGGTCACGAAGTTCTAGTCAGAAGGAATCCAGTGAGATTTCTGGGGAGTGGCAGTATTGATACCCCCTTGTCCCAGGGGCGTGATAGGTGTAAGGGAGGCCATGGAGCTCTGTCATAAGTTCCGCTCTTTGGCTGCCCCCGAATGGCGGGCGGATGATCCGGAGGAGGGTGGGGCGAGGAGGATGATGAGGACTACGGCGGAGGGTGGAGGGTGGAGGAGGAAGACGGCGAGGTCGGTTGGGCACAGCCTCAAGGCGTGGGAGTCGAACGTCGGGAATGGCAGGTCGCCGACCTCGCAACACATGGCAGCAAACTGTCTTTCCTGAGGAAGAAGAAGAAGAAGGCAATGATGAGCAAGCTCGGCTCAGCGAAGCAAGGATCGCCAGGCCTCCAGCTCTGTGTCATCGAGCAATCCAATCCTTTCCTTCTGAGGGCTGGGAAGATGGTGAGAAGGGGATGGAGGAGGAAAGGGGAGGGGAGAGGTGGACAGGCGGAGGACAGGCGCGTGGAGGGCGGAGGAGGTGCAGGAGGAATGAGGAGGGCGACGGAGTCGCTCTCGCTGTCTTGTTTCCTCCTCTTGCTGGCGGGCCGGGACTTGGTGCGCGAAGTCAGTATCATGGGGAGGTTGGCGCGCATGCTGTCCGCCTTCCACCTTTTTCACCCTTTGCTTGGCGGACCAAGTTGTGCTCGAAACGCGCTGCTCTTCATGCCTGCACGCTCCGCGTGTGGGCCTCCTGACGCTTCAGGCGGGATGCCGCCTTGCAGCCTGCCTGAGGGGGGAGTGTAGAAAGAGGGGGGAGGAGGAGAGCGAGAATCGGCACATTGGAGAGTGGCCTAGGGCTGGCCAGGTTGGGCGCCAGCCGCGTACAGCTCGCACTCTCCCGCGGCATCATGGGGGGAGGTGATCAGCATGATGGTGGGCATCCGGATGGCTGTCGGGCGTTGCAAGAACGAGTTCAAGCGTGAGCTTCAGCCTGTCGACTTCATAATGAAGGCGAGGCTTCTCAGCTGGGGGGGCAAGCGGGGGAGGGGGGATTTTTTTGGGCTGTGGTCACATTCCGTTCCTGCTCCTGTTCCTTGTCGTATTATTGTTTCTGTCCATTCTCTTCTTGCAGTCTTGTGCAGGGAGACCATCGGCCATAATTTTGCAAGGCGAACATCAGAAGTTCTCAAGGACGAATTCGGAGCGAACTTTTTGAGGCAACTTTGAGCTTTTCAGCTTGGCCCGATGCGGCCCCGTGCTTCTATAGCGGTGCTGTGCAAAGCCGATCCGATTCGAGTTCGATTCCGTGCCGATGCTCACCGATCCCACGCACGTTCCAATTCGATCTCTTCTCCGATTCGATATTGACCGCTCTTTGCCTCCCCCCTCCACCGTGGCATGCTCCGGGTCAGCGGGGCCTGCGCACGCTCTCGGTCGAGGCTTCGCCTTTCGCCCCTTCGGTTTGCACCACTGGCCGCCCCGTGGTAGTGTGGCGGAGTTGCGGGCAGCCTTGAAATTTGTGACGGACTTGTTGGGTTGTTTGTTCACAGGTGTTGGGGGATATTTTTGATGCCTCCTGGCAGTCTGTTGGTACCAAAGACCTGTTGGATCGAAACGTTTGTCTGATTGCCCCTCAGGTTGGTCTCGGCGCCACCATTTGTTTTAGCTTGTTCCTTTGTTGTTTGTCAGCGGGGCCAGGACTAAGAATGTGCAGCCATGGCGCAGGCTGGATTTGTTTCGAGCGTAGCCCGAATTTGTTTCTAGCGAGTTTAACTGACTGAATTGTAATGAACCGAATGGTCGAATCCGTTACGCGACGGTTTTATTCTCCGCCGCCAAGGGCGCAACCTATGGCGCAACCGATAGGAGACGGTTTGATTCTCGGCTGCCGAGGGCGCAACTTATGGCGCAACCGATATGAGACGGTTCTATTCTCGGCCGCCAAGGGCGCAACCTATGGCGCAACCGATAGGAGACGGTTTTATTCTCGGCCGCCGAGGGCGCAACTTATGGCGCAACCGATAGGCGAGGGTTATATTCTCGGCCGCCGAGGTGCCAGGAGAAGGAGGATGAGCAGGAGGAGGAAGAGGAGAAAAGAGGACGAGGTCCTAGACGAGGACGACGAAAAGGAATTTGAGCAGGAGGAAGATGAGGAAGACGAGGAGGATGAGGAGGAGGATGAGGAGGAGGAGGACGACCACGATCAGGATGGGGAAGAGGACGGGGAGGAATACGATAGGAGTAGAACGAGGACGATGTGTGGGCATTCGAGTGCGTTCGGGGCTACGCCCGATTTATGCTTGCCGTGTGGGCTGGCGGTGGGGCCCAAACGGCGAACGTGCTGCCTTGTGATTATCATTTTTTTTGCGAGGCCGTCAGCAGCCTTTCGGCTCAGTGCATTTAGGCTCCAAACGCAAGTCCGGTCGCAGGTGTTCAAGCGGTATCGGACTTGGTGGCAATGGTTTTATCGAAGAAGGCAGTGGAGTCATCTGCATACGACCCAAATGAGCGCATATGGGAAAGACTCAGCAGCGACTCGCCAAGTCGAACCAGTTTGGAACCTGTTCTGCTTGGCTTCCAAGAGGCCCCCTTCCAGGCTAGCGTGCAATTCTTCGTGACCTCTCATGCCCCTCAGTTCGCTGTAGCTTGTCAGGATGGGTCGTACCCTCTGGTGTGGACGCAGTACCATGAAGAGTACAGGGCCCTGTTCGAAAATCAATTCGAGAGGATTCTGTACGGGCTTGAGCTGACAAAAGCTGAGGCTATCAGTTTTCTGGCGTGGCTCAAGAGCGAGGCTGACTTCTTCGGTGATGACAACGAAGGGTTGTACCGTTTCCTCGAGATCGCTACCGCGCAGGAGGACTTTCAAGTATTTCTGAATGTGATGTTCGCTGAGGTCCAAAGACAATGGCTGCAGAAGGAGCCTGTTGCCAGCCAGATACACGAGATTGAAGTCTCGGTTCCCGATGGGATCTCCCCTGGGCATGTCATCGCCGTGGACTACTGTGGCAGAAGATTCGAGCTGTTGGTTCCAGATGGATGTTTTCCTGGCATGGTGTTCCGTGCTTCTTTAAGCTTGCAGGAGTAGTGTGGCGTGAAGGCGCGTGACCTTCGCAAGTCGCTCTTCACGGCCACCGTACTCCAGCTGCGCGGCAAGTTGTTGCCAACAGCCGCAGCAGCACTTTGAACACCTATGGCCAGGCATACTCGCGCGCTGCTCAGCATTGCCTCAGGCCGCTGGAAGAATAGCAGCAATTTCTGCGAGACCTCCCGATAAGCTGGGCTGTCTACGCGCGTGTCGATCCGATGGTGCTTGCCGGAGTCTGCGCGCGGCTCTGGCCGGCTCGGCTGTCTACGCGTGCCGAAGGGCAGTTGCCCTACCACCACGGGCGTGATTTGACTCTCTCGATTCGTTGATTTGGTCCTATCGGTCCTTTTGCGATTGGTTAGCGATGAGCTGCCCACGGACAGTGTAAGATCAGTTTCTCCGCAGTTGGGGGAGCCTTCCCCCGGCGGCTGCAAATTGTGACCCCCCTCGGTAGCACGTAGGGTTATGATTTTTCAAGCCGTCCTTGGGCTTGCGCCCCCTTTCTCGCGGAGCAGATGACTGCGATACTGTGTCTTGTCCACTGAAGTGGCATTTGGGCGGCCGCGGCAGGTTCGCGCCGCGTTCACGCGGCGGTGACCCCAGCGCGGGCGTTCAAGGCTGAGCGCCTCCAGTTGCCCAGTGCCAGCCGACATCGACCGATGCGCGCTATGGGAAATCCATGATGTTCAGGGTTGATGAACGAGCCACGCGGTGTCAGGAGCCAAAGCCGGCGTCGCCACGACTCGAACATGCCGCACTAACCCCATCGGCAGCACGTGGGGATGTAATCTCTCCAGCCGCCCTGGGACAAGCATTTTCGTTTGCGGAGCAGTTCGTTATGTAACATTACTCGTTCCTTACGGTGAGGGCGGTGCTTGGACAGCCATGCTTACGAGCGGTTCGCGCCGAGTTGACGCGGCGGCAACCCCAGCGCGGGCGTTCAAAGGTTGAACGCCGTTGGTGGCGCCTGGAATCGGCATACATTGAAAAATACGCGCCGCCGGAGCGACACAATTTTTGCAAGTTTGAACGAGCCACGTGGCGTCAGAAACCAGCACGAACATAATCGCGACGCCAACACTCCGTGCCGACCCGATCGATCTTCCACATCCGATCAAAAAAGTCCCCCGGAGCTCTCCAGGGGTGCGTGTTGACCAGACGTTCGAAGGGAACCTGGCCGTGGCGACGATAGGGACAGCCCAGAGAGAGAGAACAATGCCCGAACGCCTCGACCATCGAAGCATCGAGGCCCTGTCGGAGTCTAGCGTTAGGTCGGGCGTGTCCCCCTCTACAGGCGGATTTTGGCCGAAAAATCAAAAATACCCCAAACATGCAAAAACAAAAAGAAACATGATCAAGAAGTCGTCCCCAGACTATTTTTTGACTTAAAAAAATCCTCCTGTAGAGGGACAGGCCCGGGCTTGTGCGGCTTCTCCGGCCGCTCCGCTGCAGCGCAAGGGAACAAAAGAGGCAGACCCCGCGCTCGAGCGCCTCGCGTCGGCGGCGTGAGACGCTTCCCTTGGATGGGGCAAGACGTAATGATAACGATGCGTTGCATCGACCTGGTGTCGGAGTCTGGCGCTCGACGTCGCGACGACGCGAGCCTGCCGTGGGCGCCCCAAGCTGGCGCGCCGAGCTCTCCTCGGGGCGGCAGCGCGGTGGGGCCCACGCCCCCGGATCGAGGCTTGGAGGATCGGAGGAGCATCGAGGTTCGGGGATCGAGGTTCGGGGATCGAGGATCGAGGATCGAGGATCGGAGGAGGCTCGAGGCTCGAGGATCGTAGGATCATCGAGGTTCGGGGATCGAGGCTCCGAGGATCGGAGGATCATCGAGGTTCGGGAATCGAGGGTCGGGGGTCCAGGCTCGGAGGATCATCGAGGATCACCGAGGATCGAGAATCGAGGATCTAGGATCGAGGATCGAGGATCGGAGGAGGATCGAGGATCGAGGGTCCGAGGATCGAGGCTCGAAGAGCGGTCGAGGGTCGAGGCCTGGGCAGGCAGGACAGGCGCACGGGTCCCCGACCGCCTCCCTCCTCTCTCCTCTCTCTCTCTCTCTCTTTCTCTCTCTCTCTCTCTCTTCTCTCTCTCTCTCTCTATCTCTCTCTCTTCGGGGGCAGCGATGGGGAGGGGGGGAACGCAGTCCAGGCGCCAACATTATGTCGGGCACGTCACTCTGAAGGAGGAATATTCAAAAATAGTAAAAGAAATAATATGGGGACGATTGTCTGATCCTCTTGGATCATTTGGGGATAGTTTATGACTATCTTTAATTTTTGGTCCAAAATCCGCCTGTAGGGGGACATGCCCGACCTAACGCTAACAGAATGACCACCTTCTGGGGGCGCGCAAACACGGATTAGCGATCTGGCGCGCGGTCGTCAAATCCATGGATCGGGGGAGGTGCCCTCCTCAAAATGCGGCCGGTGCCGCCTCGCTCGGCGGCGGAAATCCGCGATTTCCCATGGAAACGGGACCCGTCGCTAATCCACGCCCCCTTTATCCATTTTTCGATCGCCTGAACCTTGGGCCCAGGGAAGGGGCCGTCGTTTTCGTGCCGCTCCTGAGATCTGGGTCGGGGGACCTCTTCGTGGCCGGGGCTCGCCATACCCAGGAAAGCCCGTTTGATCATTGAGCATCCCCTTCCATTTGGTAGCCCTCTGACTGTAGGCTTAGTGGGCGACGCATCGACCCCGAATCCCTCATTGGTCGCCGATCGGGGCCCGATAGCCCACCTCGCTTAGGAACGTGCGGTTCCGCTATGTGGGGCCGATCGCCGATCTATCAGCGATGTGTCGCCTATTCCAGGCCGATGTTTCCCCCCCTCTGCCTGTCCCCCCCGCTATCGTTGCCCCTCAGCTCTGCCACCTCCTCCTCCTTCTCGTCCATCCGTCTCACATCCTGCTCCGTGCCTTCCTGCTGTGCCTCCACTTCCCTCGTCGCGCTCCCTCCCCGTCACCCTCACCCATCCCATCTTCCCCCCGCCTCCCCATCCTCATCCATGTTTTCCACCTTTCTCTGGCCCTCTTCCTCCTCCGTCCCTCCTCCCGTCGTGTCCCCTCCTGTGACTCTCCCTCATCCTCCTCTTCCTGCTCCTCCTCAGTTTCAGCCTCAGCCTCAGCCTGCTTCTGCTTGCCTCAGCCTCAGCCTCAACCTGCCTCGGCCTCAGCCTCAGCCTGCCTCAGCCTCAGCCTCAGCCTAAATGTTCGGACGGGTTGCCGCAGGAACCCGATGGATTTCCGAAGGAATCTCTTGTATTCCTTTAGAAGTCAACAGGATTACAAGTTCCCCGAGCTGGTCAAACTAGACTGGCGCATGCGCAGGACTAAGACTCCCAGATGGGATCCGAGCACATGGGGTCGGAGGGTCGCGCCGCGTCGCCGACGCATCGCCGATGCGGCGATGCGGCCCGATGTGGGCCCCATCTTTCTCCGCGCTGACGTCGCCGATGCGTCGCCGACGTCGCCGACGCATGGCCGATGCATGGCCGATGTGTCGCCGATGCGTCGCCGACGCTGCGCGATCTTCCGACCGCGCTTATCTGGGGCCCCATCTAGGAGGTTTTTGGCAGGGCGCCTGGGCGCACCGAGCTCGCCGCGCAGCGCGCGATCATGAGCTGCGAGCAGGTCAAGAAGAGCGACGCCCTCGAGCCAGGCACGGCGCGCGCGCTGCACTGCGAGATAAAGGGGCCGCGGGCGCCCCCGAGAATGTTCTGGCGATCGAGCCCGCGGCGGCCGTCGCCCGGGCTCGAGAGGGCCAGGGCGAGAGCGAGCCCGCCGCCCAGCAGCCCAAGGAGCAGAAGAGCAGGGCCGAGAGAGTCGAGAAGGCCGAGCACCTGCTGATCGCGGTGCACACCGAGGCCCCCGCGCGCCACGCGCATCTCGAGGCGCCCGCGCGGGGGGCGGGCGCGGCCGTCGCGCGCCGCGACGCCCTCGAGCAGCCGCGCGAGAACGCAGAGCAGGCCGCCGCGAGGATCCTCCGAAAGCTCGGCGCTATCGGCCCTGCCGAGGACTGCCCTGCGAGCAGCGACGAGACGTTCCAAGCGGATGGCTGGACTTGCGGGCTCTGGGAGGCGAGGTGGGTCGAGCGCGCCTTCCGCGAGATCCGGGGCGAGGGCCGCCAGCCGCCCATCGGCGTCGCCCAGGCGCGCGCGCGCGAGGCAACGAGTGGATCCAGTAGCTGCAGGGCGCGAGCGACGACCACTCCGCAACGGCCATGGCCAGGAGCGAGGGCAAGACCACGCCGCGAAGTGGCCCGGCAGCGCCCGAGCCCAAGCGCGGCAGTCTCGAGAAGGCACAGGCTGTAGCGCTAGCGCTCGCGAGGTGCTCCCTGCGACAAGACGGCCCCAGAGGGCGCCGAGCCTGAATGGGCGAGTGGTTCGAGGTTGCGCGCGAGGAAAGACCCATGGCGAGAACCGCCAAGGACCTCGAGATCTGAGGCAAACTCGAGAAACCAATTCTCGCCGAGCACCAAGAGCCGTAAGAGCGAGGAATCATCATCTTCAGCATATCCATCACCATCATCATCATCATCAGCAGCAGCGTCGTCATCTGCAAGGATCCCCGTGTGCGTCCATTGAATCCTATGGATGTCCTATGGCTCCTATGGATGTCCCAAAGAATCTTACGGATGTCCTGAGGGTATCCAATCGATTTTCTTAGAAGTACCCTGGATACCTTCAGGAAGTCGATTGATTTCAATCGACATCCAATGGGTTTCCTAGGGGAGCGTTTGGATGTCCTAGTGAATCCCGTCGATGGCCTTCGGGCCCCCATGTATACTCTCAAGAAGCCCACGGATTGGTGTAGGCTTCCGATGGGTTTTCCGAAGGAGCCTTTTGGATGTTAGCAGATTTTTTTTGGATTTCCGCATGGACCCGATGAGTTGCTCAAGGATTCCTAAGGACGTCCACAGGAATCCAATGGCTGCCCTGAGGAATCACACGGTTGCCCATCGGATTGCGATGGGTTTCCTCCGGAACCCGGTGAATGCGTTTCCCTTGCGATTCCTATGGTTATCCTAAGGCGCCCAATGGATCTCACATGGGCCCATATCGATGTCCTAAGGAAGTCCGCGGATATCCGAAGGAATCCATTCGATTTCTTTGGTATTTCAATTGGTATCCTCCCGATGGATTACCGTGGGACCCCGATGGCTTTCCGAACGAATCATGTGGATGTCCTTTTGAATCCCATAGATGTCCGTTGGATTCCTATGCGTATCCTTTGGGTCCTTATGGGTGTCCAAAGGATTCCTATGGTTCCCCTAAGGATTCTCATTGATTCCCTAAGGGATCTGGCGGATTGCTTTGGGAATCCAATGGATATCCTTCCTTTTCCCCACGGATGCCATGAGGAATCTTCTGGATTGCCATCGAGCTCCTATGGATGTCGTAGGGAACCCTACTGATGTATTTCAGAATATTTCGGGTTTCTTTGAGAGGCCCATATATTTGTATATCAATAGATCAAAAACGATTCCTATGGATGTCCTAAGACATCAAATGGGTTGACTGCGGCACCTTATTGATTTCGTCAGGAATCCGACCGGTTTCCTTCAGGTTCTTATGTGTTTCCTACAGCATCCAATGGATGTCCATCGGATTCCTATGGGCGTCCCAAGGAATCCCGTGGATCCCCAGAAGATTGTTTTACATGTCCTTAGGGTTCCGGTGGATTTCCGATGGAATCCTGTGGATGCCCATAGGATTCCGATGGATGTCCTAAGCGATCCGATTGAGGTTTAAAAGGAATCCAATCGACTCCTTGGGATTAGGATGGGCATCGCACATATCCCTACGAATCGCATAGCATTCGCATGGACTCTAATATATCGCCTCCGGATTTTTATGGGTATCCAAAAGAGCCCAGTGGACTTTCATAGGAGTCCGATGGATTTCTTTAGGAAGCCGATGGATGTCCTAAGGAATCCCATGGGTTTCGAAAGGACCCCACGGTTTTTTTAAGGGATCCGAAGGATGTCCAAAGGACCAGTGAGTGCCGAAGGCAAACGGTCACGCATGCAGTGTGTCGAATGCGTTCCAGGGAGCGAGCCTGGATGGAAGGTGCGATCAGCGCTGCTGCTTGAGCGCGCTCTGGGCACGATCTGCGCCGGGCCCCCACGAGCAGCACCCGGATCCCGGGTGTCAAGCAACATCGGCCGGCGACGCCACATTAGTGAAGGAGTTTGTTTTTAAGGTATGCCTGCCATTGGGTGCCGTCGCGATTTGCGACTTCTGTCATGGTCATATCATCCCACGTACGGGTTGACCACAGACGAGCCGATTGGTCTCCTCAGGTTCCTCGACATGCCCTTCGGGCTCGGATTCCGGAGCCATTGGCGAGTTGTGCCGGGCATCGATCCATTGCTGAGTCCGCGTTGTGAATGCTCTGGCGCTTCATTGCGGCTGGCCTTTCTTGTGGCCAAAGAGCTGCGGAGGGACATTGTCCATTGCCCGGTAGCCCCGGCTCGAATAGGAACCCGCGCGCGCGCCCGCTTCCATTCTGGCTTACAGCGCGCGCGGGACAGCACATTGAAAAGGAGAAAAGGATCGCCGATATGTTCTTGTCAATGCCGCCTTATTCTCTCCTTGCACCCATGCCACCCGCAAGTATTGGTCCTCCTTGTCTTCTTCTTCCAGAACGCATTGGCGCTTTGGGGAGACATTCTCGGAAAGCAGGTGGCCTTTGACACGCCCTCATACCTTGTAATCGGCCTCCCCAGCAACGCCCACACCGTTTCAAAGTTTGAACCCCGCCGGTGTTTCAGAAATCCGACATGCACGGGTATTGTTCACGGTTGGTTGCCTATCGTTTGCTCCCTTCTTTCCGTTGGATTGGGTCACGAAGCCTGAACTCACCCCCATACAAGATATCATGTGATGGTTTGCGTTCCCGCGGTGTTTTGCTGACACAATCGCCCGTGGCCGGCGAGGAGAAGTTTAGCATCGTCCCGCGGCTGGCAAACATCTTTGACTCCGCCGTGTCGAAGGACATCCGAGCGTTGCCAGCAGGGATTCGTACCTTACTGTGGCATTATACATCTCTCTGTTTGTTCTCCATCTCTACATCACAGTGTGCTACTTAGACCTGCAAACTTTCACAAGCAGCGCTTGAGCTGGTGAGATCTGGAGGTCTCGAAGGATTGTCTTGTGGGCGCCAGGACAGTATCCCTTTCGATCCGATCGATCCGTTTCGATTTCGACCGGCCCGATGTTTGCATGGCGTGATTGTGCATCCTGGAGCTGCCGATCCACTTCGAGTTGGGCTCCGCGCCGATGCGGCCCGATCCGACGCACGTCCCGAGTGATCCGATTTTCCGATTCGATATTGAATGTTATTGCGAGGAATTGGGAATTGTTTTGTGCTCGAGTGTTCGGGACCATTTCGCAGTTTTTTGGCACGCCAGGATCCGTCTGACTCGCTTGCTCCCGGCTGGTCAAGAGATAGCAGCCTACCGGCCGCTGCGTGTTTAGATGTGTGCGTGGGTACAGCGTTCTTTTCATCCTGCGTAGAAACATGTGCATTGATGTACATACTCGGACGTTTTGCTTGTTGATGTCCACACGTTTGCGCGCATGCAAGTCGGAGTCCCTGCATCGATGTACGCATGTAAGTGCCATCTCGCTTACGGTGTGTGGCTTTCCGTTCACGCGAACCCACAGCACGGCGCACATTGCTTCATCTGCGGCCGCTTGACTCAAGTAGCGTTAGAGCAATGGAGGGGCGCTCCGAGGCGAATTGAGGCACAAAGCGGATGCGGCGGGGGCAGATGGGGCGGGGGATGGGAAACCGCGCTCATAACATGCAGTCCTTGTGCGCGAGTGCTATCAGTGTGCACGGCGCAGAGGCACCTGTCGAATGGCTGGAGCGCGAAACAGAAGAACCAGTGTCCGAGAGTCCCGACGTCAGCGAAGGCCTTACGGAAGGTGCCGCCGACCCTGAAGGGGGACGACGACAACAGCGGCGGCGGCGGCGGCGACGACGACGACGACGACGCTGATGTGGGCCAGAGTTCTCAGGGATGCCTGACTGTTTCTTGGGGTCTCCTCGGAAGACTCTCGGGGGTCTCTGGGAATGAGTTATGGGGCCTCATGGGAGACTCCGGGGGACCTCTTAGGAGCCTCGTGGGGGTTTCTTCGGCCTTCCTGGGGACCTCTTGTGAGCCTCTTTGGGCCTCTTGGGAGCCTCTTGGGGCCTCCTGGGAGCCTCTTGGGGCCTCCTGGGCTCGAATTTTCCGTTAAGGTCCCCCGTCTGGGAACGCTCGTGGAGCCGTCTTCGGGGCCTCTATGGCAGTCTGTTTTGGGCTGTCTTGGGGTCCTCTTGGGCTGTTTTGGGGCCCTCTGTGTGGCCTCTTGGGCGTCTTGGGGCGATCTTGGGGGCCTTTTGGGCCGTCTTTGAGCGGCGGGAAGAGGAAAAAGGCGAGAACGCCGAAAACATGTTTAATAGAAAACATTCGAGGAACATCAACCAATTTCGCCTCTTGGGAACCTCCGGGGAGTACTCTTGGAGTCTTCTTGGGCGTAATGGAGGCCCCTTGGGCAGTCTGGAGGACGTGATAGCGTGTTGGATCGATCGTTTGGCGATTGGGTGCCCTCTTGGACCGTCTCGGGGGCCTCTTGGGGCACTCGTGGCCTGTCTTGGTACTTCCTGAGGTCCCGGGACTCCCAGGGGGGAATGCGTATGTGACCCCTCCCCCTACCCCTCCAAGGACCCCCCCTCCGGAGACCCCCCCCCGACGGGGAGGGGATCAAAGGGAAGGGGCCTACCTTCGACTCGATTCCGACATTGCTTAATTACTCTCTCGCTGACAAGCTTGAGGAGGGGGGTGCAGGGAAAGGGGACGACGGAGACGACGTCAGACGGAGACGGCGTCTTAAACAGACAAGCCCTTCACACACGCCGACAGTGTCGGCGGATTTTTTCAAAACGTCGATCCCCAGAGGTCTCGACCCGTTTCCAGGGACAAGTTTTTCATCCTGAGCAGTTTTTTGACGGTCCCGAGGCTCGGTAGGGGCCCCCAGAGGCCGAGAATGTTGAAAACATTCCGTTGTGATTTCTGTCATGATTCGAGGGGGTCTGGGAACAGCGCAGGTCGCACACGTGCGGGCTGCCTCGGGGGCAGGTGCAGGTCGTCGCGCTCCTCCCTCCTCCCTCTCCTCCTCCCTCTCCTCCTCCTCCTCCTCCTCCTCCTCCTCCTCCTCCTCCTCCTCCTCCTCCTCCTCCTCCTCCCCCTCCCCCTCCCCCTCCTCCTTCAGGTGGCTCCGCAGCGAGGCCCCGCGCGTGCCGTTTGCCCCGCGGCGGGCGCACGCGGGCCCGCGCCATCGGGGCCCCCAGCGCCGCCAGGCGGCGCGTCCAGCGAGGAGGAGGCGGCGGCGGCGCCGACAGGACGGCGACGCGCGAGCGCTCGCCCGCCTGGCACAGGCGAGAGCGCCGCGAGCGTGCCCAGGCGCGCCGCGACCTCAGGGCGAGGCTGCAGTTCCAGCTGCTGAGCCAGCACCACGGCAGCACGCCCCCGACGTCGGCCAGCAGCATGGGACGCTCAGCCGACTACACCGTATGCAAGTCCTGCGGACAGTGGTGGTGGAATCATAGTTGGAGGCTATGGACTACCGCTGCGGGATCTGCAAAAGATGTTGCCATAGCGAAGAGCCCAAGGGCCCACGGGGTAGGCGGCGACCAGGAGGAGGTGCGGCAGCAGCGCCAGCGCTGGGAGGCGGAGTGCAGCAGGCAGCGGCCAGGGCCAAAAAAACAAAAAAACAAAAAAAAATAAAAAAAAAAAAAAAAAAAAAAAAAAAAAAAAAAAAAAAAAAAAAAAAAAAAAAAAAAAAAAAAAAAAAAAAAAAAAAAAAAAAAAAAAAAAAATAAAAAAAAAAAAAAAAAAAAAAAAAAAAAAAAAAAAAAAAAAAAATAAAAAAAAAAAAAAAAACATAAAAAAAAAAAAAAAAAAAAAAACCAAAAAAAAAACCAAAAAAAAAAAAAAAAAAAAAAAAAAAAAAACAAAAAAAAAAAAAAAAAAAAAAAAAAAAAAAAAAAAAAAACAAAACGGGGCCCCGAGCAGCTGGCGCAGGCGCTGCAGCTCATCACCGCCTCCCTCGGCCAGTTGCAGATCGAGGGCAGCGAGACGATCACCAAGCAGATCGAGGTGGCGACATCGGCCCTGCAGTCGGCCAAGCCGACGGCCCCGCAGAAGCCGAGAGCTGAGAGGATGGCAGCCGCAGCGCGAGCACTGCAGACGGCGCAGCGGCAGTACTCGCAGGCGTTCGCGGCGAAGCAGAAAGCAGAGGAGGAGGCGCGCAAGGCGCGCGAGCTGCTGGAGGAGAAGGCCAGCGCAGTCTTGCAGGCCGAAGCGGAGTGCGATGCGATCCACCAGGAGGGAAAGCAGGCTCCCACGGCGGGCATCATCGAGCAGCTGGTGTCGGGACAGCTTGACGAGCTGACCGAAGGACCGCTGGCAGCGGACATCAGTAAGGAGTTCGCGCTGGACGACGACGACTTAGATGAGGAAGCTAAGAAGCAAGTCGAGGAGGCTAAGGCCCAGGTCGTCAAGCAGATGCAGGACAACGCTAAGCAGTTCCAGGGCCACCTGCGCGAGCACCTGGCGAAAGCCAAAGCAGCCGCGATCGAGAAGCGGCAGGTGATCAAGCAGGAGGCCAAGAAGAGGAAGCTGGCCACTGGAGAACCTGCAGCGCCAGGCCCGAGGCCCCCCGAGGCAGCGCCCCCAGCGGCTGCGGCGGCGGCACCAGATGCCGCAAGCCCCGCCCAGGGCGCCGCCGAGGAGGCTTTCCTGGCCAGCAGGCGTGCGGCGGCGGCGCAGAGTGCGACGGGGGCCACCAGCCCCACGACGCACTAGGGGCGCGCGCGAGGGCGACGGCGGCATCTCGTTGGCGACGCCACCGCCCATGAGCGCACCCTCTTCTGCGCCAACATCTCGACCTGGGGACCCACAGCACGGCTGTGGTTGCTGCAGCAGGGCATCGGAGGCAACGGCTTCGACATGCTGGCGCTGCAAGAGATGCACGTACCGCGCTCACAGTTAGACGACGCGGAGCAGGACCTTTGCAAAATGGGGTTCAGGGCTACTTGCACCGCGGCGAGAGCTAGTACGCGCTCGGAGAAAGGCTGCTGCGGGGGCACGGCTGTCATCTCCAAGGGGCACTTGCGCGTCACCAGCTTCAGACACTTGGCCAGAGCTCGGCAGGTCTCGAATGCCACAGCTGACGTTCGACGAGGCGCCGACCGAGCAGAAGGCTTCGACATGTGCGACTGGACACCAGTCACCTGGCACCTGAAGGGCACTACGCTCACCGTCGTCAGCCTGTACCTGGACTGCAACAGGTCGCTGACCGACGGCATCAACAGCCGCAAGCTCACCGCGCTCGCCGCGTTCCTCAAGACGCTGCAAGGGGCGTGGGTGGTGTGCGGCGACTTCAACACAGACCCGAAGACGTTCTGGGCGACGGGCTGGCCAAAGGTGATGGGCGCGAGCGCCATCATCTCATTGCCTGAGGACCAGCACACCTGCTTCCTCGCGGAGCAGGAGCCCTCCCACATCGACTTCGCGATGACGAACGACGCAGGCAGCAAGCTGATCGCAGGAGTCGAAGGCGTCTACGACGTACCGTGGAAGCCACACATCGGACTGAAGTTCACAATTCGAGGACAGGGACTCGCGACGCAGTGTAGGACGCTCAACCTGCCGAAGGCGTTCCCGCACCCGCCGCGGAAGGGCAAGGCGCCCAACCCGCAGAGCAAGAGAACTAAGAGACGACTGCAGGCCAAGGCCAAAGAGGAGGCCGAGGCCACCGCTGCTGGATCCCAGACCATGGCGATCGGCGGCAAGCACGTGGAGGAGCTGGACGACGAGCGCTGGGAGGCACTCTCCCCAGTCGCAGGCTGGGCCAGCTTCCCGACCACCGTGCACGACGAGGTCGGCCAGGGCGCGGCGCCCAGGCCCCCGTCCCCACCTCGCCCCCCCTGCTCCGTCGGCCT